AAATCTTGATAACATATACAATTAAATGAGTTTCACTGGTATAAAATAATTCACCGTCATTCAAAATAATTTACTGTCATAATACATTGCTAATATTATTATTAGAAATACTTATTATATGACTTAGTATTATATGACAGTTGTTGACTCTTAGAGACACTAATTTTGGTTACAACTAGTGAAAGATTTTACTAACATTTTATTATAATTTAAGGAATGTATTTTATTAGATGTGACCTTAATTAGTGTCACTAAGAGTCATTTAGTACAATTTTTAAGAATTAAATCTCAGTAACTAACAATTAAATGATTTCAAAAATTTCACGAACTGTTTGAATAAAGTTATAAGTTAAAAAATCTTACGCAATAATTTACTATTTTTGACTTAGCTTCATGAAAAACATATTGCATTTGGACAAACATCTGGATTTGAATTCGGCAAGAAACTATTATACATATTTAATTTGACGCTTTGAAGAAGACGCGGAAATGGTTCTTTTGAGGTTGAGAACGCGACTTCAAAAAATCAAAACTTGAAAAACTATTCCGCACCAGTCTTATTTTTGGAATTAACTAGCTTTTTTAACGTTGCCGTCTCGCTTTCTAAATCAGCCTATTATTTATCAACGGATCCGATATTAGTACCCTTCTAATTTACTTTTAAAATATACGCGTAAAACGTGCTGAATAATTACAATTTGTATAAAAAGTTTGAAAAACATGAGGAATTTTTAGTTACACTTTTAATGCGTAATCTTAAACTAAATTCTTATTTTCTCAGAATTTAATAAACTTAACCCTAAACCTAACCCTGACCCTAACGTTAACCCTGGCCGGAAGAATAATAGGCATGTAATAAAACAGCAACAAATAATAACTTATATTTTAACAAAAACTACAATGTAAATAATAATTTGTATTCGTTTTTATTTATTGTTACTTTTGAACATGTTTTTTAACATATTAATGTAATTAAAAATCATTAGTAACTTCATTAAAATAAAAAAAGTTATGTAGCTTTTTTAAAACTTTAAAAAACTTCGAAACTTCTCCAATGCTACCTCGATGTTAAAAGGCATTGTTTGACCAATTGAAATTTCCATCGGTCTTATAATTCCAAAATCGTAAAAAACTCTAAATGGTGCAAGGAAGCTGTGCGCCAATTTCTGTCCAGAGATTCGGAACAAACCAAATCGATCAAGGTTGCTAACATGGGCATAACAACTCACTAATGTGCTATCTACAATAATTGTTCCCGTTTTTGTAAATGGACTGTATATTCCTTTAGAGATAACATTTGAAATTTTTGTTACTTTTTCTTTGACAATTATCATTTTGTTGTCTTTCGTCTCTATTTGAAGTAGTGTATCTCCAACTAAAACTTGATCAGCAAATTTTACATCAATATTTGATATATTTTCCACCATGATCATGTGTTTAGCTGATAATGTAACTGAAAACCCGTTTGAGGTTTGGATATATATGAATGTTGTGATGATGCTGCCATCTTTGTTCCCAAACATGTCGACTGGCGAGTAAACTAACTGCTGTGAACTCGTATCAAAAGAAAGTGCTTCATCCCTTACCTTGAGTTTGTTTAATGTAATTGGGGAATTATGCCCTTTAACATACACTAATGCTTTTTCTGGAAAACACTTTGGATCATCAGATTTTGCTATTTCTCCTTCAACAATTTTTTGTCTGTTTGTAACTGTAGAAATATCCTTAGAAACGGTTGGTTTAATTGTAACTAAAGACATATCCTCACTAACGGTTCGGTAGTTTTTCAAGTTACTAGATAACGTCTCAGGAATCAAATCTCTGATTCACAAGATGTCATTTAGTGCATTTTTACACCCTTGCACCTTTGACTGATTGACGAGCCCAACATATTCATAGATGTAAGCAAGAGACATTTCAGTTGTAAGAATTGATGGATTGGTCTTTAAAGACTCTCTCCAACGGGACCATTTACTTGATAAGTCAGATTCGCCAAAGTTTAAAATGTGAAACTTACTATCTCCTCCGTTCCACTTTAAAGATATATTTGAAAACCTGGTTGAATCTGAAAAATTACTGCCACAGTCAGATAAAACATCACCGCCGGACAAAACATCAAATGATGTTTCTAGTAGAAACTGTGAACTAGTAGATGACTCTTCAAAATTTTTTGCATCTTCTGTAAACTGACTTATTTCTACACTTCCTCCTCCATAAGCAGAGCTAACAATGAAATGTCCCCATCTGTTAAAAAATGATTGGTACAAACTCTTGTTTGATGAATCATAACGATTGTATTTGTCGGGAAGTAGATTTACATGTTTTTTAAACTCATTTGTTAACTTTAACTCAGTGCTTTCTTTTATTTCAACTTTGAAAAGCCTAACTTCTTGGAGAAGGCTATGGTTAATACTATTTTTTTCATTTGAAAGATTAGATGAATAAACAAAACCAGCTCTTGTTTTCATTTTAAATAGGGATAAATCAACGTTAGCATCAAAGTGAAGACAAGCAAGACGTTTTTTAACGTACTCAGTTTGGTTTTTAGAGTATTCACTAAATTTTCGCATTTCATTAACAAACACAAGTTGAAAACCTTTAGGAAGTTGAATTCCAAACGAGTTATATGTGTCATTCTCATCAACTTCAAATAAACGACTTGGTTTGAGTTCATCGCTAAGGATATTGAGACCAGCCCCAACACACATATATATATGTGCAGGTGGAATAATTTTTTCTGGAACATAACCTCCTTGATCCGTTTGCATTTCCATTAGTATTTTGTTTTCTTTCTCGTCTAGTTTTTCTAAACGGGTATCTTTTGCCTTTATGGTTATTCTTACAAAGACCTCTACACGACGAATCAAACTGTTGGAAAACAAATGATGCATAGCATTCTCCAGTAGTTCATCGTTATTTTTTCTTGCTTGTTCTACAATGGCTTTGTATAGGTTTGCTGGCTGTATGGTTCCATCGGGTAAAAATGAAGAATTGTTGTCATTAGAAACTGTTAAACCGCAAAATTCGTAATCATTCTCTAGCCAAACAACCAAGGAATCAATCCCTAGGTGTTTACTTACAAGATGTTTGATTTTACTTGAAATTTGATTTAGTTTTTCTTTCCATTTTTCAACATCACCAAACGCAATAGAACAAGCAAAAGTGATAATTACAACAACATTTGGAAACTCTTGACATACTATGTTAAGTTTTTTGATTTGCTTTAAGCTTAATACAAACTTGCTTCTCTCATGATTATATCTGTTATCGTTAGATTGTAAAAATAGAAAAATAATATTTGGAAAAATCTTCTCGGAAAACTCACTAATACAATAGTTGGAGATTGATTTAAAATTTGCAGCGTCTTGTTTCAAACCTTCTCCGTCAGATAATCCAGGAGTATCAATTAAATCCTAGAAGAGTAAACAAATTTAGAAAAATGATTTTGATAAAAGTTAAACATATTCAAATCAGTTGTTTTATTCAAAAACAGAACAAAAAACATCGCAAAGAAAATATGATCAAAAAAATTTATTTGTTTTAGTAAACTAATAACTTTTTCTTTAAAGTAAAATAATTGTTTCACAAATGCTAATTGAAAATTGAAAGTATTAAAAATTTTCTTATTTCTATTAAAACTTTAGATATTTAAATTTAAATGAGCTTGGAATACACTTACCACCAAAAAGTTTGAAACACCTAAACTTTGGATTTTTTCCTTTATGGAATAACATGTTGTACTCCTGGTTTCTGACGAATCTTCAGATGTCCTTGCTATTGCTAGTGATAACAAGTGGTTGATAGTGCAAGATTTACCAACACCTGAAATATAAAGGCGGAAATTTTTGAATGTGTATGGTAAATAACTTCATAATACAAAGAAATATATTTTTAACATATCAAAAAAGTTAAACTTTGTTAATAATACGTTTCTCTGCTAATATTTAATTCCGTTCTTTTATTGATGCAAAAAGAGACCATCAGTTTTAAAATTTAATAAACTTCTGTTTTTTCGAACAACTTGGAAAGTTGACATGCAATTAAAATGCCTTTAAGGTAACATAAGCGCAGTTACACTGCTTTCAAATCTATATTTAATATAACACAATTTAAAGTCTCGAAAAGGTTTAAGTTTAAAAGTTCATTATTAAACTTATTCTAAAATTTTTAGTTTAGTATGTCGTAGAGGCACCAATTTAAGACACATATTTGTAAATGATGTATAATTCCGTAAGACTCAAGTCATAAAATTACGATATTATTTAGGTGCAGGATATAGATAACAAAAATAAAAGTTAAAAAAATAATGACAAAGCTTTAAGTGGGAATATTTGTATTTATTGTGTTTATAATAAAACCTGTTTTTGTTATGCTTATGTTTACATTCCATATCCGCCACGAGATAAGTTTTTTAATAATTATAATTGCAAAAACAAAAATTGATGGTCAAAACTAAAATTGGAAAAAAATCTGTTTAAAAGTTTATATAATTTTTGAAAAAAACGTTTTTATCACGATTAAATGTTTTAGTCGAAGCTATAGAACTTTGTTTGAACAAATTTGCAAATATTTAGAATAAAAACTCTAGAAAAGAGTTAAACTTTAGGAAGTAAGACTGGAAGTTTAACTTTTAAGAAGTTGGTTTAAAATTTTTTTTTCTTAAGATATAATTTTAAGACTTTTTTTTCTTAAGATTTATGAGACGGTTACTGATACACAATAGTATTACTTCGAGCAGAAATGCACACCGTTCAATTTGAGATGTACATCTGACCTCCAACTTTTTAGTCTGAAATGGTCACGTCGAAGAACACCACTTCAAGATGTACAACCTATTGATTTCAATAAGCAGCCATTTCTTCAATCACTGTTTTTTAAACTAGACGAGGAAAACATTAGCATGTTTCAACAAGCTGTATTATGCTACATTGCAGGGTCTTTTGTTCGTGATATGTTACACAGTATTGAGTGCACAATTTGTGCCCAAACATTAACAATAACTGGAATTATGTCTTCAGTCAATGACCATCTTAGCTATGGTAACACATTACCAATAGGACACATACACAGTTTTATTGTGCATAAAAATAAAGTAGGGTTAATTTTTCCATCCTCAGGTGTTGTCAAAGCTGTTGAAACTTGTGAAAAAGTTTTTAAAATTAGTGTATGTGGCTCAAATTCAACTACAATTACTGCCATGCGGTAGTGGTGTAGTGGTAGAGCGCTCGCCTCATGAACGAGTGGTTACGAGTTCGATCCCTACCACCTCCCTGGTAGTACCGCGCTCAACTCGTTTCTCCCCGCAACGTCCTGGTTCGTCAAGGTTCGTGTTTCGGAGTTATAGAGTTGAGAGAGGGTTATAGCTATAAATAAGTAGCCTCCTTGTCTGTAGTGGCCTTCTTGGCCTTGAGGAGGTGAATTAAAATTAAAAAAAAAAAAGAAAAAAAGCAGACATTAATGTTATTATTTTATGTGTGGTTACGTAAACTTTCGCCTTATATTAATACGTTTCCGACGCTGGTGATCACTTTGACAATGATCATTGTAACGAAGACTTACATGTTGTTCAATTATTAGAAAAAAATGCTGCTTGATTTTTAAACATTAAATTCAAAACGTATGGTTAAAAATATTACCGCGAACTTATTCAAGGATTAAAAGCAGGTCTTTGACAGAAATTGAACAAAAGTGTTATTTTTCTTGGACTATAATTGTTAGCAATTTGCTATTGAATCTGTGTCAAAATGTATGACTTTTTAACAAATTTTGCTTTACTTAGTTTAAATAAAATTAATTTTACAAAATGTTTTATCTCTTATTTAATTATTTTTAATTATTATAATTAATTTTTATTATTATAATTATTTTTAATTATTATAAATATTTTCATTTTTTTAATTGTACCTTTATTAATATACAAATACTTCTACCGTTTTGTTTTTGGTTTTCTAATCTTAAAATATGTTTTAAACTTAAGAAATTTTCATGATTTAAAATTTGCAATATTAATTATTAGCCAACAGTTTAGGAAAATTAAGTAAGTTTAATACAACAAGGTAATAATAATAATTTTATTTATACTTATGCGATTAATGTTATTGTAAACATATATTAAATTAAATCTGAAATTATTATTTTTTTAATAAAAACATTTTTAGAGGCGCTTATACATTTAACGAATCTCTAATTTTATCAAATATTTTAAAATTAAGTCATGTTTGGTCTCAAATAAATAGATAAATAGTTCTCTGTTTTCATTGTCGCGTATTTTTTTTGCCGTACCGCAAAATGGCGGACGCTGGCTTCACTAAGTTTTTCACAAAAAGCTGAGAGTCATGCATCTAGTTATATTATTACGTCATTGATTACTCCAAATAAAATAAATAGGGCCAGTAAAGTTCGGCCCAGCCGTTACTGGCAGTAAACTAAAACAACGCTAAAATACTTTGAATAAATTGCAAATAAACATATCATTTATAAATTAAAATAGTTTACAATTAGAACTAACTTATTATTTACTTTTATAAAACCTGTCTGCAAATAGTTTAGGGTAATAGTTCCATATTTACATATATATAAACACATATTTACCATACCAAATACTTTATTTTAAAAGAATATAGGTGGGGCCGGGCCCCTATAGCCTCTATTGACGAGCCGCCACTATATATATATATATATATATATATATATTATATATATATATATATATATATATATATATATATATATATATATATATATATATATATATATATATATATATATATATATATATATATATATATATATATATAAATATATATATACATATATATATATACATATTTATACGTGTGTGTGTGTGTGTGTGTGTATAACCTGAAAAGCCTTCTTATTTTGATTATTACGAATTATTATTCTAACCGACAAATTAATTCTGTTGTTACGAACCATCAAAAAGCCATTAAATACAAACCGTTAAGTATTACCGAATTCCCGACATTTAAGAGTTTTTTGTTGTAAGAAAGGACAAAACGTCGGATTTTCTGTCTTACCTTATAGATAAAATTATGGATTAATGGTATAATACAATATCAATGTTGTTTAAGTTACATATAACTAAAAAAGTTGTTACTAACAATTTAATTGCTTATTTTATCATCTATTCATCTTTTAGTTAGAGGACAATTTAAGTCAACCCGCATATTGTCGTCAATAATAATTTTTTTAACTTTGCACAACTTTTGCTAAGTATTACTCAATTAAAACAACAACTTTAAAAAAAAAAATTATTAAAAAGAAATGTCTAATAGGTAAGTCGAACTGCCTTTAAAATTTGGACTGGCCTTAAACAACCTGTGACAACAAGTCCTGTGACAACAACAAGTGACAAGTCAACAACAACAAGTCAACCTGTGACAACAACAAGTGCGATTTCTTCAAAATCGGAAATGTTAGAATGAACGACATTAAATAGCACTAACCATTTTAGTATGCTTCAAAAGTAGGTTGCAAAGAGTTGCATATTTTTTACATGCATCAAAAGCCTAAAAAGCGTTCCGGAGTCTGCAATTTTCAAAATTTGCGAGACCTCCTTTAGGAGCATAATAAAGATCGCTAACCTATAAAAACATTTGTCAAGAAATTTTAATGTAATTAATTTAACTTATAAAATTTTTTTTTTTAGCGCGTTTTTAAAATATTTTTTGAATTAGCCGCAGTCAGTCGTAGCAAAACGTAACTTGCGTGGTCATATAAAGACGTGAAATTGCACGCATTCATGTGAAAGCCTGTAACCATAAGTTAATTAGTCTTTGAATACCCTTAAGGTGGCTCATATTGAAAAAACAATTTTTTTAAAAAAAGAAATTGTAACGGTTTATTAATATTTTATTATACTTTTGATGATATTTGAAACTTAAATTTTGTAAAAAAAGTTGCAAATATATTATATTTAAAGCAAATTTCAACCAAATCAGAGGTAAAAAGGATAAATGTGAAAAAATTCAAAACAATGTTTCTCGATTAATTTTGATTTAAACTCAATAATTTTTTGTTTTATAGCTTCATTACATTATTATCATTCATTTCTACTAAAAGAATGAAAAAAGTTACAAATTTATACATAAAAATTAACATGTTTTGTGTTATAAAAATTGATAAAACTAATCTTAAATAATTATTTAAGTACATCTGAAATCTTAATGATTAAGGAACACTGAAAATTTCAGCCAAAAGGCTTTTCTTAATCTTGAGATATTGTGTTTTGAATTTGCAAAAAAAGAATAAAATTAAAAAGTTGAGAAAATAACGACCAAAGTTTTTCGATAAATAGAAATTATTAGCAAAACAATGAAACTGACCAATAAAAAAGTTAAAGTAAGGTAATAGTTATAAACATTTTATGCAAAATGTACATATTTTTTGAAAGTATGATAAATTTTGCGTCCTGAATGGTATATTAAAAAAAAACCTGAATGGTATATTAAAAAAAATTCGATTTTTTTTTTTAAATTTAGTATTTTTTTCTTTATGAGCCACCTTAAGCATACTAGATACATAAAGTCTAAAAGAAACTTTGTCATCATGTCAAAATATAATTCAATTTAACACACCACGAAGATGTTCAGAACGATGACAAAAAACCTTAATCAGCGCTTAAAATTGGTGATATATGTGGGAGTATTATCTAGCATCACCACTCTTCTTTCTAAATGCAACGCTCACATCAGTTATGACCATTGTGTCCCTTAATTCACTTAAGAAATGCTCTTGCTGGTGCATCACATATGATAACAGCAAGATTGATTTTAAACTCATAGATAAAACCATCTTTTCCAAGAACTTTGAAATCTACTTAAAAATTATGTAGATAATTAAGGTAACCAACTATACCTGGTACTCACTTACTGTGTTTTGCACTCTTTTTTCACAAATCGTATTCTTTTTCAATCCTGTACTTTGAAAGTACTCATTTGTATAATTTTTATCGCATTTGTATTTCTAAAACATATTTTTAGATTATTTCATTTTCATGTTATTAATTAAATATTTGAAATTATTTTGACAGTGATTTGAATTTCACCCGCGCATATTGCTCGCCGTTTCCAGCACGTCAGAGGACAGGGCAAACACCAGACACGAGTTTGAAAGTGGTTTGAATTTTGTGCGCACATTTGGATGGCTTTTTTAACACAATTGATAGGCGGTATTATGTACCTGGAGAAATAGATACTACAGACCTCTTTTTCTAACAACATGAAAACTACATTTGTGAAAAGAGATGGATAAATCTATCTCTCCAATATTTGGGTATGTAATCCCCAGGCTGAACTTTGATGTGCAGTATGTACAACATACTTGACATTCTTGACGCATGCGTAGTTTATATGGCAAAGAATTTTTTAT